CTTTGTTCCCTTAGCATATATTGATGGCATGAAACTGTTTTTGGGCCTCGTGCCAGGATTTTACTACTATTCCTCACTGTTTTGACTTAGTATTTGTATTCAATCATGCTATATTTTACTTTTTTCACAACTCAGCCATCTTTACTTGTTTTTGATATTTTAAATGATATTTTTGGGCTGAGCATCATGTTTTACTGTTGCCCGTGTGGCTTGTGAGATTCTGACTGAGTATGGACGAGGGCCTGTGTTGTGAGGATTCTATGGGATCGGGCTGCGCGCCGCAGCAGGTGGTATCGACTATGATATATGAGAGGCCGAGGGCCTGATTTATTATGCCACGAGGTGGCTTGTGATTGATATGAGGCCGAGAGCGTGTTGATTATGCCACGAGATGGCTTATTATTGCGCTTGGGCCGTAAGGAGCCCCTCCAGGAGTCTGTACACCCCCAGTGAGCGCGGGTACCCAGTGTGATGATTCTGTTTGATATGTGAGGCCGAGGGCCGGATTGATTATGCCACGAGATGGCTTGATATTGCGCTTGGGCCGTAAGGGGCCCCTCCCGGAGTCTGTACACCCCCAGTGAGCGCGGGTACCTAGTGTGTGTGATGTATTGTAGCCCGAGGGGCTGTTGTTGTTTCATATTGAAGCCCGAGGGGCTGTTCTTGATCCATGTTGCCCGAGGGGCAGTCCTTGATTATTGTTATGTCCGATGGGCTGATTACGAGTGATTATGAGGTAGCCCGAGGGGCTGGTTCTGATGATGTTATGCCCGATGGGCGGTTTATGGTACATGTTTCGCCCAAGGGGCTGTTTACGTTTCTATTATTTTACTCACTGTTTTATCACTCGTTTGAAACTATTGAAAGTTGTTTTAAGAGATTTTACTGAAACTGAGCTTGATTTACGAAGTAAATGATTTCTGTACTATTTTGGAAATGTACTGCATTTGCTGTAGCGTTATGAAGTGGCTTACGTGTTTTCTTACTGCTCAGCTTTCATTTACTTTTATTACTTACTGAGTTGGCGTACTCACATTACTCTCTGCACCTTGTGTGTAGATTCAGGTAATCTGAACCCGGTAGCGGGTGTTGATAGCGCAGTAGCAGAGTCAGTGCAGTTAGCAAGGTAGCTGGCCGACGTTCGCAGCACTGTTTTTCTCCCTCCTGTCTTCCTTATACTGTATCTAGTACATTTTAGATTCTTAGTTGTGTTCAGACCTTAGTAGATGCTCGTGACTTGTGACACCCCGACGTCGGGCTGTGTTTTATTTCCGCAGTTGATATATTTCGCTTTATTTTGGGATTTATCATTATTAATGACTTGATTTTGAATCATTATATCTGTTAATTAAACTTGGGATTTGTGTCGGCTGGCCTTGTCTTCACGAGAGGCGCCATCACGACCGGGTCTGGGTTTAGGGTCGTGACAAGAAGTTACACTATAGGGAGCCCGAAGCAGGCCCGAGTGATTTCCCCAAACCTCCAATAGCCTCAAATGCCAATTTCAAAGACAATATCATTGTCTAGGTGCGTCAGAGTTCCCTAAGGATCTCAAGGATCCCGGGCAGTGCTCACACCTAGACTTTGTAACCAAATTGAGTAAGTGCAGTGTGGAAGGGCCAGCCTCAGTGTGCCAGAGTTCGGAGGGTTCTCAAAAGGATCCCAAGGCAGTATACATACTGGAGGGGGCAGAACCTAGGGACTTAGGAATAGAGTGAGAGTGCTTGACATAGTTTGAAAGGGTTTCAGTAGAAAAACAGTGTAAAAAAAAGACTTGGTTGAAATAACTTTGTAAGCAAGAGAGTTGTTGGAAAAACAGCTTTTGAAAAATAGTGGTGTAATTAAACAAACAGCAGGTAAGTCAAACAAGTTCAGCAATACTCAAATAACAGTCCTTCATACAGGGGAATGGGAACTGGGAACATATAGAGCACATGGTATCAGGAGCATAGCAGTTCTTGAGGGGTTTAAGGGATGAGGGGATAGCTATTGGTACCAATACAGTAAGAGTTTCAGAAATAATCATAGAATCAGCCTTTTAAAGTGACAGATCAGTTTGCACATCAAAACTGGATAACAAGTAGACAAGCATTCAAAGTAAGGTAGAGTCATGTTGAGACATACTACTAGGGGAGGGGTAGAACATGTTCTGAAAAGCCCTAAGAAGGTTAGACTAGCATGCTAGATGAAGCAGTAATGTAAACATGTCAATTGCATGTTGAACAACAAAACCATAGATAGAAACAAACTAGAAACATGATAAACTGAAGTAGTAAAAGAAACATATTGGTTTTGAGACTTGAATTGAAATTAGAACATACCAGTAGAGAGATGGTAAACACAAAGTGAGGAATAGGAAAGCACAATAGTTAGCCTTGGCTTGCAGCCGGCTAACTCAGAATGATAGCAAGTAACCAAAGAGGGAGCAGAAAAGTTTTGAGTGTGAGAGAGCTTTTTTTTTTAACCAACGTGTTCGTCTGTTCGTGTTAATGAGAGAGTATGTATATATAGTAGTTCGAAACTAGGTAAAATAAGGCAAGAATCACAATAGTATAGTAATTATGGAACTCAGAACCAATTAGAGCAAAATCGGTACAAGTACTCCCCTAATTTAAGGGAATCAGTTCAGACAGTAAGAACAAGTAACAAATAAGGAAAGAAATCAATGTACGACCAATAAGGAAAGATTTCAAATATAGTAAGTATAGGGTAAACAATTAGGGCTAAGTTCAGAAAAACTCTAATTAAGGAGATAGTCAGTAAGAATAAAGTACCAATGCAGACAAGGTAGGCGAATCAATCAAATTGAATAGAAAGTGTAGGAATCGAAGGTTTAAAGGAAGGTCTTCCAATCAAACCATGAAACAGGGGATCCAGAATCAATCAAAGAGAAAGTCATGAGTCAGTGTTTAGCATATAAATAGATTAAGATAAAAATAACCAGACATAGCAAGCAAAGAGGCAAGTCTTGAACAGTCAAGATGAACACAAACACATAGAGTTGACGTAAGTTATGCTAAGAAATTCAGTAGAAACATATTCGAGGCGAGATAGTCACAGAAACATCAAACGAGAACCAGCCAATCACAAAAATCAAACGAAGAAACCTAGAAAATTAGGGCTTTCAACATAGACGAGTTAAAGATGTAGTAAAATCATAGAATCAGTCAAAATACGCAAGAAATAGAAGTTTAAACACAAAGAATAAGTTAAACAAAGTTTTAAAAGAAGTTTCAAAACCCTAATTTTTAGAAGAAGGTGAAAACCACTTGAAATCAACGATTCTTGTAAAGAGTTCCAAGGACAGTGTAAAATATTAAAGAAACAAACTCAAATCGTCCTAGATCTGTACAGATCTAGAAGGTATAGAAAAGAAATTAGGGTTTCGAAAGAAACCCATATAGAGATGAAGAACCTGCTTAGAAAACCCAAGGATCGTTGCAAATACAGCGTGATTTTGCTTGAAATCACACTGGAGTAGCCAAGAACAGGCAAGTGACGAACCCTAGATGCAAGTTGGCATGGCCCTGGGCCCTTGAAGACCTTAGAGAAGGCAAGCATGGCATGAGAGAAGCCATTGGAGGTTCAAGAGACGAAGAGAGGTCACCGAAGATAGCCGGAGATGGGAAGTCGGCGGTTGAAGACTAGGGTTAGGTTGAGAGTGTTTTGAGAGAGGAGAGGATCTTAGGGCGGCGGATGTGGGGAAATGGTTAGGGTTGGGGGGTCGTTTGGAATAAAAAAGGCAAGACTGAACGAGGGTCGTTGATCTTTTAGATCAACGGCCAGGATTTGACGGGTTTTGGGTCGGGTAGATGCATTTAGGGCCTGGGTCGGGTTATTTAATCTGAAATTGGGCTGGGGTATTGGGTTTAATTGAGGCTAAAATTGAAAATGCAATTTGGCTAGATTTTAAATAGCCAATTTATCCCCATATAATTTATAATAAATAATAGATAATTTCTAAAAAAATAATTTCGTGCACTAAAATGATTTAAAATAGATATTTAACATTTTAAAAATATAGAAGATCAATCTTATGCATATAAATGTAATTATACATTAACAGGGCTAATATTGTAATTATACGCAAATTAGCTTTAAAAATGTAAAATGCAATTATAAAAATGCACTAAAAATATTTTAACAATATTTTGGTATAAATATAGGATTTAGATGGTTAAATTGTCACAACAATAATTTGAAAGATAATTGTTGGAAATTTTATAAATAAAAATGAAAGAAATAAATCAATTTAAAACCTTCAAAATTATAGAAAAATTATAAAGCCCTTATGCATGCTTATATATGCATATATATGCTATTTTAAAAGTATTTTTGCATATTAAAATATATAGGGAAAAATTGGGTAACAACATCTATGAAGCCAACCTTATTTTAGCTGAGAGAGCTATGAGGACTGCCATACGCCATCCTCCATATCCCTTTCCATCAAAGATGGAATTGACAAGAATCATCCCAGGTGAATCTGAAGGATGGAGGTAAAACAGATGAGAGCTATCATTTGTGATAGTGATTTGAGGGGATTAGATTGTGGAAGGACTTCCAACAGGTAGTGTAACAGAGGGATCGTCAGTGACTGCCATTGAAGAAGACCAAGAGAAAACTTGAGCAAGAAGATAGGATCTAGACCTTTTGCTCTGATACCATAACAGAAATGAAAATTGTAAATGGAGAACTTTTTTTGTATATTTCATTCAACTGTGTACAAGTATTTACACAAAGCAAAAAGAATAAAAATCTGTTATGCTAGGTACAGCGTCCTAGTACTATTTGTCTATGTGTAACTATCTAAAAGAATCCTAAGAAAATATATAGAGGAATTAATATGTACACATTTTACCTACACACTACACACGGTAAAAGAAGCTTCTAGATTTCTAAAACTCTATTTCATTCTTTTACTCAAATGGACGGCCCAGATATGTTCTCTTTTAAAGCAAACAAACGGAGATGAATAGCTTTGGATCTCTGAAGACAAAATGATCCTGTCTTTGGACATATCGTCATTTGAGTTTAAGCCATCTTCTTTACCAAAATTCTTTGTGGACTGGGCTTGGGAAGTTCTGACGCCAATAAAATGGTACAATCCATCCAAACGTTGTATTCATAAAACGATATAGTACAATATAATACAGTACGATACGATAGATTATGAAACGATAAAGGTAATTGTAAAAATATTTACAATAAGCGGTACTTGATAACCTGGTAAAAGGGTAATTAATTTGTTATCACATGTTAGACTGTATTGACACGGAAAAAATTCTTGCACTATCTGCATATATAACACAAATCGTTTGGACATAAACAACCTTAAGATGCCAAGATGTGATTCTTTTGGTGCTCTTCAGCACTAGACTCCAAGAAAGTTAGATAGTAGTAGGGGTGTCAATTTGAGCCTAAATGCATTTGATCCATCCAACTCGTCTAAGGTTAGGTGGGTCAATTGTTGAACTCAACCTATCTTGATCCAATCATTTCAACTCATCTAAGGTTGGGCTTTTTTTTAGCCTAAATTGACCCACGAGTACCTTTGCTGAAGTATCTTTAAAATAATTTTTTTATATGCCATAACAAAGTCTTATTTGATAATTAAACAATTCATAAGAAAATAATACATATTAATTAAAGCTTGGCAAGAATTGGACGGATTGAGCTATGACCCAAATTTTAGCCCAACTCTACCGAACCATCTCAGTCCAAGTTACATTTGGGCGGGTCAAATGACCGGCCCATTTATTGATTCAACCCATTTTGACCCGCCCAAAATCAGCCCAAACCGCCCATTTGATACCCCTAGATAGTACTATAACGTATCATAAATAGTTGGCCGGCATATGATTAACGATGACTTACTGTTAATACCTCTATATGATTTTGCATCCATCTCCTTAAAGCCTAGATTATTTGGTTCGGCGGCACCAAGAAAGTCCACCAAATGTTCCACAAATATTTGTTCACAAATATTGATCAGTACTTATGTTTGACTTTTGGTAGTCGTTAGTCTTCGTTAATATAGTAAGCTTAATGTTGCAATTTGACTTAGGTATTACTATATAGTCGTAGTAAACGAATATATTTAAATAATAGCTGAACTTTAATCTGGTAGAGAACTGAAATTTTAAAAAATGAAGAGCTAAATGAATAATTGAAAGTTGTATAGACTAGTGTTAATATTAGTGTAATGGTGCCAGAAACTTTGAGATTTTCAAAATATATAAAAAATGTTTCAAGTACAAAGGTGAATATGAATTTAGAGTTAATGAATTCGGACTATGGATTGAGTGCGATCTATTATTTATGCGACATTTTTAGTTTTTTTTCATAGGTATATATGATCTGAGAAAAAGCAACTAGTTCACTTAAATCCTCTATAAATCAAAGACATAATTGCTTCTGGTTGCATACATTGTAATGAAATGAGTAGTTATTTGATTATTTCAGATAATTTTCTATTTTCATGAAATGTCCTATCCAATTTTAAATGAATTGGCCTCCTCACTCGGAAACTCCACCTCCACCGCATTGGTTTAAATAGCTTACAATAAAACTTGTAATTTAGCCTTCAAAGCAATTTGCTCTAGAGCAAATTTTCGCTTTTAGCCCGCGCTAAGAATTATTTATATTCGATAGCCGAAAAAATGTATAGATTTTGTATAATTATATAACATACAATATATATATATATATATATATATATATATAAAATTATATAAAAAATATATATTTTTCGGCTATTATTTTGAGAGCGGCTATACAGTGTCATTTTCCCAAAAAAAAAAACAGTAGCAGTAACATTACTTCTAGAGTCTCATATATTTCCATTTGTTCATTGTAAAAATCGGCATGTATGCATTGTAAGCAGTAGAATATTAAAAACCATAAATTCCAACTGATGCAGTATCCTGAAACAGACATTGTAAAATACAATATGATACAATACTATGTTTCAATATATGGTAGTTTACTATTTGAAAAGATAATCATAATATAACTAAGAAGCATTATGTTATGTATTATACGTCAAGGACAAAGCAACAAATAAGCTATGACAAAGAGGAAATACTCACTTAGAATATCATGATCATGATTTTCTTGATCTGATATGCTTTCATTTCACTCCAAAACTTATGGCTTCTTGGGGTTGCATCCTTATTCTTTATTTCCTGTTTCCTCTGATTTCCCCTAAAATTACAAGAAATTTGGCTTCTGATGCACCTACACAGTTAACTAATATCTACCCTTTTCCATGCTCGGATCACATCAAGACGTGCAGCGCGTTCCTCTATCAGCATAATGGCCTATCAAAACAGAATATCACCAAGTTTTACTCTGTCAATGAATCAGCAATTAAGCCGATTAGCTACGATGACAGACAAGACTACCTAGTAACTGTACCTTGTACTTGTAAAGATGTTAATGGAACTGTTGGATATTTCTATGACACAAGTTACAAGCTGCAGCTACTGGACACATTTGCAAATGTTTCTAATGATATTTATAGTGGCCAGGTTTGGAAAGTTGGTGGAGAAGAACAAAGTTACAAAGCTGAGGATGTAGTAACTATGCATCTCTTGTGTGGATGTGTAGAAGATGACCAAAAAACTATAGTGACATATACTGTTCAGCAGCGCGATACGCTATCAAGTATTGGAGATTTACTTGCTTCTCAAGTTAGTGATATAGAGAAGTTGAATCCTTCCTTGACAAGTCCACAGTTTGTAGATATTGGATGGCTTTTATATGTGCCCATGTATAAAAATGGAGTTCTTCTACCAAGTACCGGTTAGTTATACAGTCAAACCTATCTATAATAGCCTCGTTTGTTCCAGATTTTTTTGGTTGTTATAGCGAAGTGCTATTATAGAGAATATATATTATAACATAGCATGGAAATTGGTTCCAAAAGGAAATGACATTTATAGTGAATGGTTGTTATATATCGATGTTGTTATAGATAAGTTTGTCTGTATCTACAATTGTTGCATAGAATTTTACTTTCCACTGCCTCATTTTCCCCATCATTCAGCAGGAAAGAAGCACAAGGCGCACAAATGGACGATACTAGTTGGAATATTATCAGCTGTAACAGTACTTTCAATGTGTACAGTTATGATATTTATTATCAGGAGAAATAGATTGCAGAAACGCGCCAAGGAAGATCGTGCAGCTATTTATAAAAGCTTAAGTACTAACAAAACCATGTCTTTGCAGAAGCAGTACATGTATAAAGATCAAACTGAAGGTTTAATTACTGTTTGTCAATTTGTTATGATGACATGAGAAGATTGAATTATAGAAAAATTAACATGATCAATTGATTCCAACTCTGTAGACATCCCGGTTTTTGAATCAGAAAGGCCAGTAATATACAGTCTTGAAGAAATTGCAGAAGCTACGAGCGATTTTGACGAGTCTAGGATAATTGGACAAGGTGGATATGGGAGTGTTTATTATGGGACAATTGGGAAGCAGGTATATATATAGCACTTCCTTTTGTTTTTATTTCTTCATTTTTGCTCATCAGATGCAATTAAAAGGCAATCACCACACTGATACTAGGAAGTTGCAATAAAAAAGATGAGGTCTAACAAGTCCAAGGAGTTTATTGCAGAGCTCAAAGTCTTATGCACGATCCACCACATAAATGTGGTAAGTAAATCAAATTGTTGGGTACTTACTTTTTGGTGTAACTGGTAAAGTTGTTGCCATGTGACCAGAAAGTCACGGGTTCAAGCCGTGAAAACAGCCTCTTGCAGAAATGCAGGGTGAGGCTGCGTACAGTAGATCCATATGGTCCGGCCCTTTTTCAGACCCCGCGCATAGCGGGAGCTTAGTGCACCGGGCTGTCCTTTTTACTTTTGATGAAGATCCAAAATTTATGAAGAGTTTCATCCTGTAGGTGGAGCTGTTGGGTTATGCCAGTGGGGATGATCACCTCTACTTGGTTTATGAGTATATCCCAAATGGTTCTCTCAATGAACATCTTCATCAACCAATGCTAAAAGGTACTCTTTATAAGATGTAAATTCAACCTTTGTGCTCATTTTGCTACAAGATTTAATGTGACATGTAGTATAACTGAAGTTCACAAACTGTACAAGTTATTCACCCTGTAAAGCACATCGAAAACTAAGATTTCGAAAAGCAAAAAAAGAAAAATTATGCAGAATAATTAGGTAGCTTACATCAACTTGTTGTGAACCAGGTCATAAGCCTCTAAGTTGGACTACAAGAACACAGATTGCTTTAGATACTGCAAGGGGTATTGAGTATATCCATGACCATACAAAATCTCGGTATGTTCACCGTGATATAAAAACGAGCAACATTCTACTGGACGAAGCCATGAGAACTAAGGTGCCTTCTTTCGTCTCCTCCTTCAAGTACACGGATATCACATTTAAAACTTGTACTATATTTTTTTCATCAGAAATGGACTAGAACTTCTTATAGTTTTCATTAAATATACATCCAACAAAGCTTTCTCTTATAGGTTGCAGATTTTGGTCTGGCGAAACTAGTTGGTCGAACCAATGAAGATGAATTCTTAGCGACTCGCCTAGTTGGAACACCAGGATATCTTCCCCCTGAGTAAGAATCTGAATTTACACATTCTTGTTAGTCTCTTTTGTGTTTTTTACAAAGGAATGCCATATTGTCTAGCAATGTCAAATCCATTTGATGTCCCATATATGTTACAGATCTGTGAAAGAGCTGCAGATAACTACCAAAACAGATGTTTTTGCATTTGGAGTAGTTCTTGCAGAACTAATAACTGGCAAACGGGCACTCATTCGTGAAAATGGGGATCCTAACAAGATGAAATCACTCATCTCAATTGTAAGTCAACCATTTAGCAGAGAGAATGAAACACAATCACATCAATGACTAGCAGAGAAAATTGACATTTTTAGAACATGATGGAATAGCAATTTTTATATGAAAAAACGAAAAGAACCCAAAACAAGAATAACTGAGATGTCAGGAGATCACTGTCTTGCTTGTTACAGCTTAAAATTATTTAGGCCTGTGTTTATTTCACCATAGTTAGTGTTTCATTAACGAAAGAGTGTGTCCGCTGAATGGTCAGATTCAAGAAATATTCCAAGATGAGGATCCAGAGTCAGCATTGGAATCCTTTATAGATGGAAATCTCAAGGAATGCTATCCGATGGAAGATATATACAAGGTTGGCCATCTAAATATATCTTGATGTTCAAGTCTCCTACGCCTTTTATAAAGCCAGTAAACTATGAATTTAGAGCTGACATTTACTTTCTAATTACTCTACAGATGGGAGAAATTGCAGACTGGTGCCTAAGTGAAAATGCAATTAACAGACCAGAAATGCGGGAGGTGGTTGTTGCGTTATCTCAAATCAGGATCTCGTCCACAGAATGGGAGGCATCATTAGGAGGAGACAGTGTGGTTTTTAGTGGACTCTTTGACGGGAGATGAAAAGAAGCAAAACTCTTAATTTTTAAGATAGAGTGAAACTTTTACTACTGCAAGCAGTCAATTATGTTCTGCTTATTGATGGAATTTCTTTTTCTTTTTCCTATCTTGTAAAGTTACATAAAATGTTTGATAAACAGGATTCAACATGTTGTTTCTACTTGGCTTCAGAGTCATCCTGCTAAATTTCTGGACCAAATTCTTACAGGCATAAAAAATTAGAATAACAACAGAAACTCTTTCGTTGGACTAGTAATAACCGGTAAACATCCCCTCTTTAGACATAGAGAATTCAAGACTAAGAAGCAAATAACAGCATGTTCCCCTCAACAAAAAAATTTGGACTATGCTTTTATGCAGAATAAAATCCAGTACTTGATGTTAAGAGTTAATACGCTAACAAGCGCCTCAGCTACTGAAAGCATACATGGGTGAGTTACTCATCCAAGAATGTCTTAAGACTCAACCAAATTGACTGTCCTAAGCACTCATTAACTCGATCAGAAATCAAATTTGAGTGATCAATCCCTATGACTAGCTAAAGTAATATAGTCACAACGACAGTAACAACGTATTAGTATCATACAAATACTGCTTAAATTCCTGCACCTCCCTCGCAGACTCCTTTGTCAAAAAGAGAAAAGTAAGTTTATGATCTCCCAATTGCTGGAGAGGATTTTGGATGCTGAAGGGAAATAATAGTTTCAAAAGCACCAACCAATGCCTTGACCTTGCTTCTCCTGGTCTCGGCAAGCTTGCTTGCAGTAACTTCAATCACATTGTTGAACAAACTTGGAGCTTCTTTTGTATCTTCTATAGCCTGAGGCCGAAGATTTACTTTCATAACATCATCTTTAGCAGTACCTGAATGGTCATCAGCAATACATCTTGTCAAGCCTTTTCCTCTAAGATCACCACTTTCATTTTCGCGCTCATGATCTTGAACGGAGACTTGCCTATATTTTAGTCTCCTTGGACTACTGTCTTTCTCAGACTGGGAATCAGTTGTCTTTCCCTTTTTGAACTTGAGCATCTTAGGACTGCAATCTTCATTTTCTAGGCCAACTTGTCCAGCCACCCTTTGAGGTTTTATGTCTTGCTTCTGGTTTGTATTTCCAGTTTGTCTGGTGCTAACGCCTGTTACATCACTGTTAAAAGACTCATTGGCTGAAGTTGATGATAGCGACACCAATGAAGATGAGGAAACGGAAGATTGGGTGGTACCAATGTTTCTTGAGCTACTGCCACCTGAAGATAGAGGAGAGGATGGAGTGCAAAGTGGTGATGAAGCCGTCTTACCTCGTGCTGGACTATATCGATCCAAAGAGGATTCTTTGGCATTACTATTATTTGATTCTCTAAGATGCAACGTCTTCTTTGGAACATTTTCATGATTGATTTGCGCAGTTTTGCTTGGTGTAAGACTAGTCCTACTGTTAAATTGAGATGCCTTTCTTGGAGAGTTGTTACTGGATGTTGTGCTTGATACCTTCTTCACTGAAGATTTTGGAGACAATGATACAGTTGAGGTAACAACACTCTTTTTCTTGCTTAGCTCGGAGGATCCACTGTCCTTCTCTATTTTACAGCTGTGGTTTTGTCTACTGCTTGATCCATCCAATAACGACTCCTGAAATTTTGAAGACCTCCCCGGTATAAATATGTCGCTGTATCTTCTGTGATGTCTTCTTGATGCATTTTCTTCTAAAGGCTTCAGCTTGGAATCACATTGATGATTTGCAAAAGCATCTGCTCTTTTGGTGGATGTTGGGATTTCCTGTCCATTGACATGGCATGTTTTTTGGATCTTGATTTCTGAAAATTGTTTAGTTGAGTTTGCTAGTTTCTTCCTTTCTGGGATTTTTCCTAATGTTGCTCCACTTCTTGTGGGCCGGGGAATCTTTGCCTTTGTTGGAGAATCATGTTCGAAACCAGACTTGCACATATCGTGACAAGAACCTGTTGGAACGCCAAGATAACGTGACAAGACCTTGGATCCACCTATTTCAAATCCTAGGCTACCGGTTGAGTTCCTTCTTACACGACTGACTACACGCTCAATTTTCTCCAGGTTTTCAGGTATACCACAAGACATATCAGCCATTGTACTAAGAGAAGGAAATGAAATCACAAACCAACACCCCTGCAGATAAGTTCAATATGATATAGAGGGTTCAGAGTAAGCAACAAAAATACTTATTGTGATTGTTTTTCTGTTTACAGAAACAACAACAACAATAACAACTACGCCTAAATCACAAACAAGTTGGGATCCGCTATATGAATCCTTAATGTCCATGTTGCTCCATTTAAACTCGTCCAAAACCAATATTAGAATGATACTAAGAATATTTTTTGTTGTGATTGTTTTCTTTTTACTTCCAAAAGATCCAAAACAAAGAGTACTACTCACCAGGACTTGAAAGCAAGAAGTAGCCGAGTGTTGTTTAAACCGTCAACCTCACAGTTTGGCGTCCTAAATAGATAGAAACAAGGATATGTTAACTGGTGAAGATCGGGTGGGGATGCTTTTTCATCCATTGCCTTGTATGACTTAAGTCTACATTCTGTCATAAAATGCAGATAAAAAGGAAAATTATAGACATTTAGTTCCCCATAGTTAATAACTTAATATTCATAACCTACAGTAGCTAAGATAAACTGGAGGATTCACAACAGTCATCACCAAACGAACAATAAATTGAAAAATCCCAATGCTCAAAATTATCACTAACTTTATCGAAAACAACATCTCTACCTTCACAAGGTAGGGGTAAGGTCTCCCTCCTCGAAAGGAAAGAGGGACGAGCGGAACGGCTTCGGTAGCGGTAAGCATTCCCCCACCGGGCTGGTATCATATTCTCTTATAAGAGAGGCACGCCTGCTTTTAGCTCGTTGTTTCACTCTTGCTTTTGCCTTACCTTCTATTATATTAGTAAAGGGCGAATGGGGGGCGTGTGCAATAGTTTTCTTACTCAAGTTGGATAACTTTCAAACAGTTCAAAGGAAAATCTTTCGCCAATTTCATTTATTGAGCGGTCTTTCCTCCTGCATACACTCTGCCCCTCCCAGACCCCACTTTGTGGAATTACGTTGGGTTTGTTGTTGTTGTTGTTGTATTATCGAGGCTGAGAACATGGATCTAGCACAGATTTCTGTATCAAGATTTAATCAACTTATCCATTTTTGACATAAAACTTATATTCTTGCTTGTTCATGACATTCCAACTATAAAATAAAATATTCCAAAATTCCATTCATCTAAACGATAAAAAGCTTATATTCCAAGAACTATATCTCCCAATTGTGTCCTCGCCTTCTTTAGCTTACCCTTAATATCATATTATATTCAAAAAATAAAATCTAAAAATTGAAAGGATGAATATGGCTTGGATTTGAGACATTCATGCAAGTAGCAAAGGTGTTTGCAATATTCAACCGAAATAAAAGATTATTATCATAGAGTTAATAGATACAGAATTGTTTTTGATCATCAAGAAACAAACTCAATTCTACAAACAAGAAGCTTTTAACTACCAAACAAAGAAAAAAAATTAGTTGAAGGGAGGAGCTGAAATTGTACATGTAAGGAAGAGGGACCCCAAACAATTGGTTGAAATTTTATTTCGTGGAAAAGAAAGGAATAAGAAAGAAGAGGGAGGTTTAGAATTATGAAGTTCATGAGCTAGTGTTGGAAAGGAGCTTGATCTTATTATTGTTAGAAATTAGAATTGATAAATTTATGTGAGAACAAGCGTAATTATAGCAAAGGAGATTATTTTTATAGAAAGAAGAAATCACAATAAAATTCCCAAACTGAAAATAGAAAGGTCCTAATCCGTGTGCATTGTAACTTTTAATTCATATTAAACCGTTTGAGTTTTGCAAATCATATAATATACTTTAGTTGGTTTAATTCAAAAGTTTTGAAACTGAACCAAGCGTTTAATAAATCTAAGTTAAAATAGCACGGTCTAGCTAGTTTTCAGACTGGTCATTCAAAAATAGCCAGCGTTTATCAAGTCAATGAAAAATAATCACTATTTTGCTGCAATAATGGTCCAGCATAATATACTGGAGTTCGGTGCACCTGTGTATGAACTTCCATCATATTATGCTGGAATTCCATCACACGGAAAGTTCCAGCATAATATACTGGAGATTCGAGCACTTGTGTATGAACTTCCAGCATATTATACTAGACCGGTATACTTTGCTGGAACTCCAGTATATTATGCTGGAATTCTAGTGTACTTATGCTGGAATGGAGTTCCAGCATACTTATCCTGGAACTCCAGTATAATATGCTGGAGTTCAAGTATACTTATGCTGGAACTCCAGCATAATATACAAGCGTATTTTCCAGGTTTTGAACAGTGTTTTTGCTCAGATTTATCTTTACATGAAAAGTGGCTAGATCTCGATTACTTTTGAAACTGTGCTATTTTCGAACGACAACTTATAAATCTGGCTATTTTTGAATTTCTCCCTAAATCTAACCTAAAGAAGAAAACTTGCCCATAAGTAAAGGAAAAGGAAAATACTTACACGCGTACTTAGGCTTTTATACTAACAACAACAACAAACCCATTAGTTTCCCACAAGTGGGGTATGGGGAGGGTAAGATGTATGCAGCCTTACCACTACCCTGGAAGGCAGAGAGGCTGTTTCCGATAGACGCTCGGCTAGAGAACGACTGAAAAAGAAAAGGTAATTGCAACAAGTAGGAATAATAGCAAGATGAAATAAGATCGAATCCAAGAATACAGTCAAACTCTAGGTGGTAATAGCCATCTATGGATAAAAGATATCATACTAACACTAATGCTAGCAAACCGAGTAAGACAAAGAGAAACGTTCGACTACCTACGAACCTTCTACCCTAATCTTTGACAAACTAAAGTGATATTAATAGTATTATTTAATCATAGTTAAGTGATAAAAGTTCATAAGTAGACACGCGTCTTATATTCATTGATTTAGTGCAAACACATATATTTTGTATTATTATCAATTTTCCTTTTTACAAGCTTTTTTTCTCGGACTAAGGGTGTGTTTGGTATGAAGGAAAATATTTTCCGAAAAATGTTTCCAATTTTCCCATGTTTGGTTGGTTTAAATGTTTTAAAAAACATTTTCCTTATCAACTCATTTTCCCCCAATTGGAGGAAAATATTTTCCTTATCAAGAAAAAGAAAATTATTTTCCAAAACTCCCTCTCAACCTTCCCCACCCCACCCCCTCTCTCCAAAAAAAGAGGAGTATTTTTTTTCAAATTTTAATTTTTCTGTTATCATCCACCCTATTATCCCTCTACCCCACCCCCATCCCGCAAAAAAATTTATTTTTTTACCTTATTTTCTTTTGCAATTTCAAATTTCTATTTTTTCGTTTTTCTGCGCCACCCACCCCACCCACCCACCTCCTCACCTGCCCCCACCCGCNNAAATATATTTTTCAGTTTTAGTTTTTTTATTTATCGGTTTAAAGGTTCAAAATTTTACAAGTTCCAAAGTTATGAGTTCGGAGGTTTATGTGTTTGGAAGTTTACGGGTTTAAAAATTATAAAGTTTACGGGTTCAAAATTCCGCGCTGGAAAGTTTAGCGGTTCCAAAGTTTATGTGAGTTCGGAAGGTTGTTGGTTTGAAAGTTTATGGCTTCATGTTTATTATATCCAAATTATTTATGAATACTCTTGAGAAGTCATTTTCCTTAATTTGCATATCAAACACCGGAAAATGAATAAGATTACTACTTGTTTTTAAAGAAAACATTTTCCGTTATACCAAACACACCCTAAGTTTATAAAATTTTGAATTAGGATATTATGATGAAACTCATTTTTTAAGACACACTCATTGATATTATCCAATAAGTAAGGAAAAATGATGCATTCAGAAATGAACTGGTTATTTTTGAGTTTGGAATTTGGCCCCAGGATACTATTATCTAGCTCCAATTACTTTGGGATGAACACTCCCTGGGGGAAAAGGAAAAAAAGAAACAGTTCATTCCAAACTAATGTGGAGTAATTCAAGAAGTGCCATGAATCAAAATGTGGTTTTTTCTGTAATTAACAACTTGAATGTGAAAACTTCCATAGGCCAAGTGAAAGTATCCTGTACGAATTCTCGGCTAAATATCTGTACATAACATTTCCTAGACAAAAAATGATAATCCTAGCAATCAACTTTCTGTACTATTAAGTCTATAACTTAACTTATGAGTTCATAATATAGGTGGTGTCACCACCATAATCTCCATTAATTACTCATCAGCTAAAAAAGAAAAAGAAGACCACATATAAGACTGAGCTCTCCGAGCCCTTTGCCGCTTTTTTGTCAGCCCCCAGCCTTTCAAAAATCTGTCTGCGATTCCATGCTTGTTTTCGGGAGTGTGCTGCAGGAGTGAGCACATTGTCCTCTTTCCATCATTGGACCGTCTCCTGGCTCTGGAACTCGTCTTACTCGGAGTTTTCCTCCACGTACTTGCTTTGGGAGAAATATTTTTTTCATTTGCCTGATGCAAAAGAGAGTCAACTGCAGGTACTGAATCTCTCAGATTAAGCTTCATAGTCCGACTGCAGTCATTCCTATCAGAAAGAGGTACATCGCACTCAAAATGGACTTCCATGTGTTGTTCAACCTCATTCTCTGGAAATCTTGCCAAAGCAGCAGCAACTTCAGCAAGCAGACCTAGACAGTTATTAGAAGCTTCGGATGGTTCACTGATGGCAGTCTTTGAATACCCCCCAACGGCAGATGATGAAATAAAAATAAGTATATCAGCTGCAACCTTGTCAAGTTCCTCAACGAGATCACTATGGCCTCCTTTTGACAGATGGATTGATGTACTGCTTATAATGTCCTGAGAATCTCCTCTAGGTGGAGAACACTCCTTATTTTCGGGGCTAACAGGACCTTCCACTTCCATATCTCTTTCTGCGGTAGGCGTTGTTGCTTCACTTGACCTAGACGATAAAAACTCTTCTTTGGTGCAAGAGTAAAAGTCAATGCAAATATCAGTTGTTGATGGATTGCTATCAATTCTAGCAGCTTTAAGGTGATTATCGCTGGTACATTTTCTAGATTCAGGTGTAGAATCAGGAACTATGCTACTACTGTCAAGAACCTCAGAAATTTTATGAATCTCTACATTTCTTCCTTCAGGGAAATTAAGATGGGAAATGTTGGAGGTAGACGCAGACTGGTATTCAGACAAATGGTTAGGAGGTGTTAAATTTAAGTCCATGCCTTTCTGTGAACTTGTGTAGTTAGAGACCTTATTGTCTTTAACAGCAGCGATGTGTTCACATGTATTGTCCCTGATTTCATCGTGAATGTTTTGAGATTCAAGTGCAGAATTCTGCCACTCTGATTCAACAGGCTGTACGGGTTCATTTAGGTCAAACAAAAGAGAAGTACCCCTGCAACTTGAGAGAGAAATTGATGAATCTCCAACATTGACTTTAGAATAACATTGAGGTTGAAGCTCTGGGATCATAATATTGGGCCTTATAACAGAATTTTCCTTTTCAAACGGCTCCCCTTCTTCATTGTCAATGTATTCTTCTGGTGGGACTTCAAGATCCAACATTCTCTTTCTTGATATATTGCTCTTTGACGATGATAAGTTGCATTCTTTTGAGACATTTCGTCCTGAAAAATAATCACCGCCTTGTTGCACAGTCTTACCAGTAGAATTAGAAGACTCTTGAAACATTTCTTTACTTGGTGCAAATGGCTCGATGCTTGTGAGGTTTACTATGGGCCAATAACTTTTGCCGGAAATTTCAGACCTTAACTGAGACATAAATGTATTTGGCTCAGCCTGAAAGTGTAAATGATCCACTAGTTTTCTCCTTTTAATCTCATCCATTAATTCCCTTTGTCTTCCATAGACGCGATGGAGTTCCTTAACCTGAAGAGAACACATTTAGATATCTGCTCAATCATGATGCATTTAGTGAATAACCAAGTAATGAAGCACTCTCTCATGGTTACCATTAAGAAAGCCCCAACTTTGATCAGAAACTAAATGCTAACTTACATATAGCAGGCATACACTAGATTTGTCAACAACAATGACTATGCCTTAATGCTCAATCCCAAGCAAGTTGGGGTCGGCAATATGAATCCTGGCTGAATAACTAGATTTGTCAACCGAAAAAAATGAAATGAAGGAGAGAAAGAATCTAGGAAGAAGAATCACCAAATCTAGTAACATCTCAGAAGATTTATTTTAAAACATGAGAACAGGAATAGGTATTTATAAGTATAATTCACTTATATAAGAAGCAAACTGAAGATTCAGTCAAATATAGACACTTTTGTAGAAGATGACTATAATCTGTTTCAATGACATTAAACAGCTCAGATGAGTACCTGATATCTAAACGCTGCTTCATGCCTGAGTATCATCTGTCTCAATATTTCCTTCTGATGAACTAAATCCTGGTTCTGGTTCACCACGAATTGAGGCAATGAAATATTGAAGCCTCTGCTACTGTTCCAGGTAATATCATTGTGGGATATTGACCTTGAATTACCACTCGAGGCTGCATTATGATCTCTTGGGTAGTAGTATTCTGGGATATATCTAGTGCACTGCATCTTTCTACCCTCTGAAACACAAAACGATATAGAATTAAGAATGTAGCATGATA